TATATATATTAGTTTCCGCATTATAAAACTGTTCGATATTTAAATGACTGTTATTTAAATCACACTGTTGATATAACGGTGCATATTTACATTATTGTGACATACCATACCATACTTAACGTGTAACATTCGTTAACTATAGACGCTGACCCGTGTGCTGAGAACCCCTGCTTAAATGGTGGAACTTGTTTTACTGTGGTTGGACAGATCAATGCTTTCACGTGTCAATGTCAACCATGCTATGAGGGACCGCACTGTGAACTTGGTACCTAAATTGTTCTTTTAAAACTCTTTAGTGCCTTGAAAACCGATATTGTTCACCAATATTGTTCATAAGATACGCATAATGCCGTTACAAATAGTAGTGATTTCTCAGTAGTTACAAAAAACAAATGACAATCTAAGCCTGAGTTGTTTTTGTTTATGTCTCACGTTTTAACAGCTACCGATGTATGTTGTTTCAGTGTATGATACAACTCGGGTACTACAAGCCCTGCTTCCGCGTGATAGGAAAATTGGTACTTGTATTTTGTCATACATACACCTGTCATTATTGATGTTACAGTAATTGATATTCGAAAATTCCGTCAGTTGTAAGAACACATTATCTTGGGGAAAGAGGGACCTTTAAAGTGACTGAGTTTCTGAAGTAATTGATGTTCTGTTATTTTCTTCATTAAGATCGTGATCCATGTTCTTCTAACCCATGTAAGAATGCAACGGCTACGTGTACTGCAGCGTCCGAATCCTGTTTTCTTTACGAGTGTTTCTGTGAAGATCCAGTGAATGGTTGCTTTGTAGGAGAAGATTGTGACAGACGTGAGTATTGCATAATTTTATATAGCGTGATTGCAATGCTTTTGCTACACTTTCATTCATGATTATTTGACCATTCCATATGTTGAGTTTAACATGTCACAGATTATTTAGGCCTTTGATATTAAAGTGTGTACTCAACTTTCTGTAAAATAATATAATTATTTATTTGAAAACGATGAGATAGGAAGCTCAATAGAGCTTGTGTTGAAACTGCTGCGCGTGGATGAAGTGAAATAACCTCAAACGAGAACATATTTCGTGTTTCCTTTCGTTCCTACTTCCACTACATCAATTGCACACACAAATGCTAAGATAAAGATGTAGATACATGTCCGTGATCACTCGTACCTTAGCATTATGTGTTCGTCTCATTTCATTGTTTAGACAGTGCTGCTGGCTTCACGCTCCTGAAATTTTGGTTATAATCCAGGTGGAACATTTTAAGCGATTTAAAAAGTTTTTATCTGCGTTTCGGTTCTTCCGCTGTTTGATTTGAAATGATCAAACGATGTAAGTGGCGTGTTTATTTGAACAATACTTGTTGAATAAGTGTTAAATACCTGTTTGGCGTT